CTTTATAAAACTTGGATTCTGGTGCCTAAGAATGTAAACTTAAATTATGAAACCAATTTTATAATTTTAGCTACACTACAAAATAGGTAGTCTAATAGGTTTCCAATTCTCCTAATATTAATACAGTACAATACATGTCAAAGTGAATAATATTTACCCAATTCTGTAACTTTATGTGGGATGACACACGTCCCTGACTCGGGTAGACTTGAAAATAGCACTAACCTACGATAGTACGCTTTCATCATGTTACAACAAAATCCATAAAAACTTCATTTTTTAATACATTTCAGTACTTTTGGTATTATTTCAGTATTATTTGTGTTGTAAATATTTAATTCTCAATTATAAATTTTAAATATTAAAAATATTTTTCTAAAAATTAATTTTTAAGTTGTATTTATATAAAAAGGCATTTATGTTATAAATTATAATATTTTTTATTTTACGGAATATAAAATGAAATAATAAGTAAAAATGCAAAACTATTACAGTTAAAATAAAAATATCAATTTAAATAAAATATTATTATAACTTTAATAGTGTCACTCTAGTAGACTGATGTGTTTTACACAAATTACTATATTTTAATTAATTATTAACTTAAGATTCTAATTGTTTTGTTAAATAAATTGTTTTATATAAATAACAATATAATAAAATAAAGACACAGAACAGCATATATGGAGAAATAGCACAGAATTTGAAAACCTTATTCTGTTATTGATTCTTACAATACATGGATTGTAAGCAATAACTGTTTGTCTTTTATTATTGTCTTTATAGCCATTATTTATTCATATGAGGAACCATTGAATACATCACTAACTCTACTAATTGTGTAAACAATTGATCCCAAAAATGAGTTCAATGGCTAATAAACCGTATTCTCATCCATCATATGATGTGAGTTGTAATCATTGATTTTGGGAACCGTTTGCAACATCTATTTAAATACAATATTTGTTTCCTTCAAATACAATATTAGTTGTTGTTTTTGTTTTATAATTGATTAATTATTTAATATATTTATTTAATTATTTAATAATTCTATTCTATTTTATATGATTTAAAATTAAATGTAACGTTTTATCAATTTATAATTTTAATTAAAACAAATAAATAATTAAATGTTCTCTAAAATCATTTAAACAAATGTGAACTCATATGAAGATATGGAAACATCTCTTTGATAAGGTTTGGCAACTATTTTATATTTTTATATCTATTGTTAAATAAAACATGAATATTATATCAAATTATTTAGTATTTTGACAGAATATAGTTAAATAAGTATAAAGGAGTGGTATATAAACCGCACCCTCACTGCCATCCCATTACCCGTATTACTTGTCTTTCCATCCCTTCCTGTCTATTATAATCACAATTTGTTGATTCACTTCTCTATTGAACTAATTGTGATAATCATTATTTAATTATATTTTTACTCATAACGACTTCATTATAGCGTTGACTCTATTATATACTTCCCTCACAACACTTTTGTTTGATTAAATATAATGTACATCAGATTATTTCACGTCTTACAGTATAACAAAACATGCTAATCTATATTTATAAAGAATATTATAATGTATTCAATTCAACAAAAATTCAGTTATTTCAGTATAATTGGCATAAAATGAATGATTGAATTGATTTGTTATTTAATGTTAGGAACACAATTCAAACACTGTACCTTCAATAGTATTTAAAAATATGACAATGTGACAAATTCATGAAGTAAAGTAATTCATTCTTTATATACATGTAGCTCTTAATATTAGTTATCTATGATTCTGTATGGTTAGATAATTAGATAAAGTCCTTAATCATTAATGTATTTTGACTACCTATTCTCAATTCTAAAATATTCTTAATTGGAAATATCCAAACGTAATGAGAATATTTTAGTTCATAAACAAAATGTGTTATATCGCCTCATTACACTAAAGTACATTATTTCCTATTAAACACTACATTATTAAATAAGTTTAAAACAATTCAAAAAGGTGATAACTTTTTATTGTGGAAATATTTGAATTTATATTAAATTTCAAAACAATTTCAATATAATATATTATGCATAATCATTAGTAAACAAATAGTATTAATAAACAGAAAAATTAATACAGGTAAATCAATTATTTTTTATGTGAAGTATGACAGCGAAGGCTTCGGAAGAATAACGAGCGAAGATTTTCTCTTAATTCTCAACACAAAAGACTTTCGCGATGTAATCGATGACACGAAAAGAGCGCATTTGAAGGCAAAAGTGTTGGAATACGGGACCAGTTTTATAACACGCGAAGAATTCCTTAATGTTGTAAGTATTTGACAATTAGTTTCCATTAAATTCAATCAATCATTTCTCAAAGTGGTATCAATTTGTGGCAAAACAATGTTATCCATTGAAAGCATTTTGTTGTTTATGATTAGATTCAAAGGATTATCGATTCTAATGCTTTTGAATCGATATGTATTGTCTTGAAATCCAAAATCATATGATTCTATACATGGATTTTGAATGACAATTGAATCGCCAGTTTTTGGTCCACTTTGAGTCGAGAGGTTGTATATGAATAAAGCGACACAATCTTTGTTGCCATCCATTAAACAGTATGTGTTAGCCATCGCTGAGCTATTGTTTATACAACCGATTACTTTACAAATCAAATCTGTTGACTGATTGGTGCCAATCTCTAAACCTTTTATTTCCACAAATTTTTTCTTATCATAAATTTTGAGTTTTGAGTCTTTGTTCAGACTATCAATAAGTAGTTTTATTCTTCTGGACTTAAGTGATGCCAATTTGTCAATCATAGAACACATGTCTTTTAAATATGCCGTTAAACCCGTTTGTTTGTCCAGTGGTTCCTCCCATTCGGGGTCTATAGTGATGGCTCTTTGCAGACAATTTAGAGCCCTTTCAAAGTCGAGATCAAAATGACAAACAGTGGCGTAATTGAAGAGAAAGTCGGTTTGATTTGTGGCCTTTTCATCGTTATATGCCTTAAGATAAGCCGCTTTACAGAGTTTCAAAATGGATTCATCTCTTTTGGTCTGAGACTTGAAGAATAGCGTTAAATAAGCGTTTCCTAAAATATACCACGAAATGCCATCACAAACATCACATTCGAGCGCTTTCTTAGCTCTTTCCACACTTTTCAACAGATTTGAGTTTTTCTCTTCAGGAGTGGTTCCTAATTGTCTCAATACCATCGATGCATTTCTTAGCGATATTTTATTCATTTCATGCTTTAATGCGCTCTCAAAGCAATTGAGAGCCGAAGAATAGTCGCCTCTTTTGCGGAACTGTTCCCCCAACTGATTCCACGCTTCACTCAATTCTGGTCTTAGTTTTACGGCTCGACTCAACGCTTCCTTCGCTTCCAAACCATCGCTTTCTTTGTCCGATATATTCAACGCTCGACCCCTTTGTAACTCATATAAGGCCCGATCGCTTGCCGTCCACTCCGAGTACGCGACAGACAACTCATCCAAACGACTCAATACTTCCTGCGAGACATTCATTAAATACTATCCAAACTAGAAATGCATTTATAATTTACCCTTAATTTGTGGTTCACTTGGATTTGTTTGCTATCATTTGATTTCAATGGTTGGGAAACGTTGGAAGCGTTGCCGCAATCGATGAAATAGTTGTCTCGGAAGGCATACAATTGGTCCACAAATTGTTTCGCGATTTCCAATGGATTGTTGTTTTGATTCATTAATCAAACGCTCAGACAATCAGACAATGAGTTTAAATGTAAACACAATTACAGTTAGTGTTAACACATGTCATACAAACTGTCACTCAATTCACTCTCCACTCAAAGCCAACGCAAAGCTCTCGTTATATCTGACGGACATTAAACTTACTGACAATCAAAGAAGTGATGTCTTTGAGTGATGGCTATTGTGGTGACAGTTGGAAGTGTTGGAAGTGTTGGCCCAGTCTTTGCTCACAAAGTGAAACAATGTTGTGAACGTAATTGATTTGTGTCCCACAGTTTGGCTCGAGTGGTGTCTCTGAAAGACATTTGATGTCCAGACAGTTGTCGGTTGACTGCGACCTCACGAGCCAACACACGATCGCCGAAGAGATGGTTAAAGCAATCGGTCATCACTTCCTTCACGACGAGAGGGACCGCAAGTATTACGCCGACAGCTATTCCTGTCGTCCGCCGCCGCTCTTCATTATCACCATTACATTCATTGAAGTGAGTCTTCAGTCTTCACTCACTGTCCAACTCATGGCAAACATTATCATGACATGCATTGTCTATCCATAGCTGGCATTCTTCATATACTACACGATCGTATTGGGAGTGACGTCTTCGGGACCCATTCCTATCGACAGTCTCTTTATATACAGACCCGACAAAAGGGACCAAATCTGGCGCTTTGTCTTCTATTTGGTATTACACGCGGGGTTTGTATCACATCTTCGTTAGCATTGATTATCATTTGTCTCATAATTTGATTTTTTAACCAAAAGATGGATTCATTTGATATTCAATTTATTGGTACAATTGTTGGTCGGATTGCCTCTTGAGATGGTTCACGGATCCGCTCGAATTGGAACCGTATATATGGCCGGAGTTTTGGCCGGTATGTGAAGATATATATGCGATGATAATATGTGATAATGTATTTGGCAAACAATGGCAACCAATAGGATCGTTGGGTACGTCTGTGTTTGATTCGGATGTATATCTAGTCGGGGCTTCGGGTGGTGTCTACGCTCTATTGGCCGCACATTTGGCGAATGTATTACTCAATTATAATCACATGGAATCCGGAATCTTAAGACTATTTGCTGTGTTTGTTATCGGTATGTCTTATATCGACTTTAGATATAATAATTGAATAATTGAAACCCTATGTTGTTATATCATAGCGTCGACTGATGTCGGGATAGCTATATATGACAGGTATTATCACGAAAGTGAAGGTCCCGTTTCATACGTGGCTCATCTGACCGGAGCGTTGGCCGGACTTACCATCGGTTTATTAGTGCTCAAAAACTTTGAACAAAAACTTCACGAACAGCTCATGTGGTGGATAGCACTCGGAGTATACGGCGCTTGTATTTTGTTTGCTATTCTCTATAATGTGTTCAACTGATTGAATGACAGTAAGAATTGAGCGAAACGTTTGTCCAATTGATTGAATCAATCCATTACTGCTCAGGGATTCAAACATTTTTGCTGACAATTGCTTTTTTGAAAGCTTTATATTATTTTTTTATTGTTCAATGAAATTGATAATTTTTATACTATACATGACTTTTTCACGCATTCTCACTATTTTTATGTTTAATTTAACATAACTTTTCACTGAAACTCTTAACGCAAATCTCAATTATTTTATTTCTCACTTTTCAACTCAATTAATGTTTTAATTTATATTATTTTTAATATAAAATGAACTCATTTTTGAATCTCTTGTCAAATCAATACTTGAATCTCATATGATATTTATGTGTAAAGTAGTTGTGATCCAAGTGTTAGTCATTTCTCTATTGAGAATTTGTGTTCAATTTTGACAACAAATCATAATTTATATACATTTTTATTATTAATTTATATTATATTTGAAATACTTATTTATTGCACAAAAATTATATTAATATTAAATATTTATACATTTGTATTAATTTAATATAAAAATAAAATAAAATATTAACTTAACGTAAATTAATAATTGCTTCAATTATTTAATAAATGGTCTGTATTTTAATGATCAATGAATTGACAGATTAATTGATAAATATTATAGTAATTATTTGCCTCTAATTAACATCAATACATATACTGTGAAGAGTAGGGTTTTGAACATTTGGTTTATAACATAGAATTGTTCACAGGATAGAGATTATTTAACATTAGGTCTATGGAATATTTGTTTTGGTTTTAATAATAATCAAATAATCAAACTTTATTGGAATCGTTGTCAACAATAGTTGGTGTTCATTACAATCCATTATAAAAGTATATATTCTATTAAAAATAATATAAAATAAATTATAAAATGAGTATAAGTTTATATGTCAGTTGTTTCGGTGTATATTTCTTTGAGTCTCTTCTTGAAGTTACTGATAGTTGTCTCGGATCTGATGCCCAGCGATAGACAGTTCCACTCTTTAACACCTTTACAGAAAATAGTGTTAAATAAATATTTTTTCGTAGCGTTTGGTTCGTTGATATGGAGTCTATCTCTTCCAGTCCTCCGACTCCTCCTATTTGTGTTGATTTCAAACAAATCACTCGAATATTCAGAATTCAGTCGATTAATGCATTTAAATATATAAATCATTGATTCAAATAGTATTGAATTCCTTAATGAACTCCAATTTAAGTGAACAAAAAGTGGAGAACTATGTGAAGAATATGAGGATTTGGTGATAATTCTCGCGAATCTTTTTTGGACTTTTGATAGCTTTTCAATGTGTGTGTCATATGTATGGCCCCATACCTGACACCCGTATTCAAGTTTTGGTCGAACAATAGATTTATAAACAAAATTAGTTGTATTTTCAGGTAATAAATTCCTTAAATTCAAATTCAATTCAATCACAAACTATGGGATAAACACTTGGCTTTTATGGCTATATATTGTATGCGTTAAGACTATTCTGTAGCCGAATATTCTGTATATTCTGTGTATTATATTCATATATACTATATAGCTCTCTCTCTCTCTCTCTCTC